TTCATTATTTTTACGTATTTTGTCAAAATTCGAACATTCAATTCTTATCAAAAATTGTGACTATGTATTTTAAATATTTTTTAACTACCGTTGTGGTGATATATTAGGAGCCTTGTATTGTTGTATTACATTTTGAAACTTTTTACCAAACGAATTAAATTTTATTGTCATTTATATTTTTAAAAAAAACTAAAAATATTGAAAATTTCAAATGTCTATAAATAACTTTAAAAATTTTGAAATATTTTGAAAATGTTATGAAGTATTGAAAATGCGAATATTCACATTACCTAACCTAGTGAGAGTTTCGTGTGTCAATGGTAATTCGTTATAGAGTTACACCAATATCTAAAACCGATATTCTTAAAAATTGATTTTGCGTAAGGTTCATGTTTTTCCTTATTTTTATTTTTTTTGTTTTTCCCGGTGCTTTTGAAAACTACTGGGAATTTAACCAAAAAAGCTACTGAAGTTGAAAATCGAAACTTTATTTCGACAACTTAACGCGTACACAGACACAAAAAACACACACACATCATATTATAAAACCAATACATTCATCGCTCCGCTCAGAATCTAAAATGTTGAAAATGATTCAGCAAGCATGCTCAACCAGTTTTGCTCAATAATTAGTAAATCAAAATTTTTAATTTTTAATTTTTAAATATACTTAAAAAGATCATATTTTCAAATTCTTAAGATTTTTCACACTATTAAGCGAGTGTACCTAAACAAACTTTTGTTTTTCAAATGAGAACCCTCCTCCTTTTCGGCCTTTTCTGTTACAAATTATTTAGTTAATATTTTCCTCATTTTCTGGAAATTATTATGTACCCATWTTCAAAATTCGTACGAGTTATTTAATTTTGCGTAGGTACTGATAAGAAAAATATTGGTCTATTATAATAGGTTTATAATGTTTGTATTATATGGTGACTACTGATCATGGAGATTTGAAAATTTTAGTGATTAATAAGAAAGAAAAAATAATTTATTATTATTAATAGTTTTTAAAAATGGTCAAGGTTTAAAGTATTTCTATAATAATTATACAACAATATATCTATTTTATATTTATGTAAAAATAAAACCATTTTTAACGACTATTATCATTAGTACCTATAAAAAACATTTTAAAATMAGAAGTTTGTATTTATACAGGAAGATATTCTTAAGAAATACAAAAAAATTCAAGAATTTGAAGAAATGGTCTTAGAAATTTGAGTATTTATACTAAAAATTCCAAAAATCAGAATTTGAATAAATGTATTATTTAATGGAAATTAGGAATGCAAATACTTGGTAAATTACCCTGTATATAATGTATATTGTATATTTGAAATATAAACAGCAATTCTTCTGAAATTCATGTGTAAGTAATTACAAAAATTGTTGTATTTCGTGAAAATCATAACATGGTAGCTGAGTTCAATTTTTAGTCRTAATACATTTTTTTTTTTTWATAATTAAAAACGTAACAAGCGTTTCTCTTACCCATTAGTGGTCATTGATAATTAACTAATAAATATGCATATAATCACGTGTGGATAGTATAATAATATGATGACCCAATCAAAATAACCTGAATTTGTGATTAGCACACTTATACACATCGTATATCTATACACTATGATCTCGTTATGGGTTGTGGTTAGATAGAGTTTTCTGGTACCGGTTTTTCATAATGATGAACGCACTTACATATGTACACTCAGAGTCTAAGACCAGTGACATAATTGATATAAAGCCATTCACGCTTGCACTCGCTACAAAGAAAGTAGTCGTGTGTACGTACCAGAAGTTTTATTTGAATTTCTTATTTGATGACAGCAACAACTCGAAACACATCGTTCATTATTTCCGCGAAGAGATCTTAAAAATAATAATTTTAAATACAAATATTGAAATATATTATATTATACATTACTATTAGTGTCTCTATCATAAATTAAATATGTGTGGACATTATTCTTTAATGGTTTTCCTAATGTTAGCAATTGGATTACAAGATATTTATTGTCAAAAACAAGAAGTGAGTATTTTCATATTAAATAATTATACTTTATGTCAAGTTAGTGCTTAATTAAAATATATTTATTCGTGCAAAGCTATCAGGAAAATGTAGAGCTCCTGATAAGGCGCCTTTAAATCTTGAAATAATAATTAATATTTGCCAAGAAGAAATCAAATCCGCATTACTTCAAGGTAAAATTGAACAATTATGTCCACTAGTTGAACTGTTTTTGAATTTAAATGAATTTACAGAAGCATTAGATATCATCAATGATGGCAATTTGGAACAAAATACGCCAAGCTATAGCAGTAGATCAAAAAGAGATGCTGATGAAGATTTGACTAATGAGGAACGTAGAGTTGCAGGGGTAAGATAATCATATTGTTTTATTTTTCAACTAAAACATAACCATCAACTATAGTCTATAATAACCCTCGAATAAATAACTGCTTATAAATGTTTTCARTTATCAATTATCACGTATATGAAAGTACTTTTATAAGGTATACTTATTAATATATATCATATTAAGACACATTTTACGTGTAGCGATTAATTTTATTTTACATTAATGAATATATTTTTAATTCTTTAAAGAGATTATAATTTATTATTAAATGTTTGAAAAAAATCTCCATAAAAATAAACCTATTATGTGTCTTAAGTTATAACTATAGTCACTTTAAGGAATCGAATATTTAAAGAATAATTTTTCATTTTTAATGGTTCTGTAATACTTATAGCCTATATAAATTAAAATTATAACTATATTAAATTACGCAAAACATTATTATGATACCTATTAAATAGTTCATAAAAGTTACACTCCACGATTCTTTTAACATTAAATATACATATATATATATATTACATATAATTTTAAGTCGCTATACAACAACATTTCACAAAAAACTTAGCTTTAAATACTAAGTAGGTAGTTTTAGTTGAAATGAGTGGAGTGGTTTGGTACAGCTAAGAGTACCCTAAATATTTTGGAAAACTTATTCGATCATATAAACTTTAAAAATCAAAACAAATTAACTAGGTACCTATATAATCTAGTTTAAAATTTCATTTTCATAGAATGTCTCAAAAAAACATAATAGCATAAGCCATAAGAGTATAAAATTTAAAACGTATGTCGTCATCCAAAAAAGCAAGATAATTATAAATTATTATAACGACTAAAAGTTGTAAAGCTAATAACTATTATTAAAAATAATTTTTTTTTTAAATATTTTTAAATGAAATTATATGGTATATTATATAATATTATATTAAGGAAGATTTATTATTTCCATTTTGTGGTGGTAATATAAACTGAATTCAATATAAGTAATACGTTTAAAAATTATTCTTATAATTCAAGATACCTAGTTTTCATGTTAGAAGTATAACCATATGTCCATATAGTTTTCTTAATGCACTACAGTCGTATAGGTGCCTAAATATTAAATAAATATTTATGAGAATTTTTAAATTCACGCACAAGTGCCTTCACTGCAGGTTATTGGGTTTTCACTCAAATCACTTTAGCCGGTGCAGTAAAATATAATTTAGAAAAAACATTATACTTTTGTATTTTTTTTAAATATAGATTGCATGAGTTCTAGATTTAAAAAATTAAATGAAAATAAAAACAAAATTTAGAAATTCATTACATTACCCAATAGTAAAACTCGAAAGCAAATTGTACCCATCAAATTATAAATACAAACTTATATATAGTTTTATAAGTATTATTATAAAAA